TCCTTCCATCTTCTTTTGATGGTTTCTGCATCATTCAATAATTTGCCCAGGGACTCTTTCAGTAACAAAAGTTGAGGCTTGAATTTTTCTTCAGTTCCCCAAGCTTGGGAAATGCTGAGCGTGTTCTTCCTTTTTGGTTGTCTGATTCCAGATCTTTGCACATTTTGTTGTACTATTTGGCTTTATCTTCTCAAGATGATCTTTGACCTTAGCCCCTTTAAAAGTACAAATAACACCATACTTTATACACGAGAGGACTTCAAAAAATTTGTGGAAAACTGGAACTAGATGGAATTTTTCCTCAAACTTTTTGAAGCTCCCTCTTATTGCCCTGAACTTTAGTTTTTTCTTTCATAATATCTTTTTACCATATGACTTTTGTATGTTATTTTATTGTTAAGTGCTGTTGATTCAGTTCTGACTCACAGTGACCTTGTATAGGTTTGTTCTTGTTAAGTGCTGTCAAATCTGTTCCAACCCATAGCGACTCTGTATAGGGTTTTCACGGAGCGGCTGGCAAGCTTGAACTAACGACCTTGCGGTTTAAACTGACTTTGCATTAACCCACAGTGCCACACCAGGACTCTAAGGAGCAGTTGATAGATTTAAACTGCTGACCTTGTGGTTAGCAATCCAGTGCTTATCCCACTGTGCCACATATATACAGATATGGACAATGCAGACTAATATAGTAGAGTATGGGCTTTGAAATCAGGTACAGCTGAGTTCAAATCCAAGTTCTCCACTTTTTAGTTGTATAACCTTGAGGAAGGCTTCCACCTCTGCACTCCTTTGTTGTCTTGTCTGAAAAATGGAGCGAATGAGGTACTAGGCACCGGGGGATACTGTGGGGAACCCGATGGTCAGTTCTCCGTGATACTTGCATATCACTGTGATGCCTAATAGTAGATACTGAGTACATTGAGCCATTCATAATATGTTTTTCTCTTCTGAGTTCCAAGCCTACTAAAACAGACTTTCAGTTCAGTTAATACCAAGTAGTGATGTGGCTACAAGTCGGCCATATAAATGGCAACTAAAGTGGAGTAACATTTTCTGTACTAATTGAATATTATTCTCATTCTATTGAGGGGTTTGATACCTTGTAATGTAACACCTCAGCATGTCTCCATCTGAAACATTCTGTGATTGCAAATGGATTTGTTTGTATTCTTGACAAAGGGGTATAAGACAGGGACTTATTTTTATGCCTTGTCTCTTTGTTACAGTTACTCATGGTAACATCCTCTGGAAAGCTTCAAGAAAGTTATACAGTTATTTTAGGAATATCAGAGTCTAGAAGACAAACTGAAACTTCCTTATTTTATTTTTTGTTTTGTTTTACTGAAGTGCCGAGTAGTAGAGCTCTCGTTTGGAATGAATGTCAGCAGTATGAGCTGAATTCAACTTCTTTTCTCTCTCTGGAATAAAAAGAAATAATCCTGTTTCCACATATCTAACTTGTAGGTCAACTTTTAGGACAACAGTTTTTCTTGGTTGGCACTGCCTGTTCCGGGTTTTCACCGTAGACTCCTCACAGAGCTTCTAATTCCATAGGCTACCCCCCACCCCATGTTCAAGTCGTGAATACGGGTTCTCTTTCTGAGTTAAGATTTCATAGAGGGAAGAGGATAGAGTGAAATTTTACTGTGCATGCCAGATATAAACATATACATTTATCTTTTCAAATCCTTGTACCTTTGTGAATTGTTGTTGTAGTTGTTAGTTGCCTTGAAATCTGTTTTGACTCATGGAGACCCCATGTGTGCAGGATGGAACTGCTCCATGGAGTTTTAAAGGAGAAGGTAAGTGACTTGAGACGGGTTATATAGTTAGTAAATGGTCCAGCTTACATTGTAATTAGTCTTCAGACTCATGTTATTGCTGTTGTTAAGTTCCATCGTGTTTGCCCCGACTCATAGCTATCCTGTGTTCAGTTTCCAAGAGCGACTGGTAGGTCTGACCTGTCAACCTTGTGGTTAGCAGCTCAGTGCTTATCCTATAGCGCTACACCATGGATCCTGGTTCATGCTTGTTCATTGCTATTGTGTAACTTCCTGAGCTAGTTAAGATTTTAATTGTCAGAAGTTAGTCATTTTTGTGTGATTAGTGTGATGTTTTATAAAGGAAGATTTATATCTTGTTTGTAAATAAAATTGTTACTAATTTACCTTTAATATCTTCCTGTAATTTGTCCCCCATGAAACCATGCAATGGGTGACATTAGAAGTCCTTTCTGAGTTTAGCAATCATGCATATGTATTAAGTCCTGAATGTGGATTATAGTTATGGGTTATGCTGTGAGCTGTAAATAGGTGTAATTTAACCTATTTCTCACACTGTACCCAATGAATAAGTTTGTTTTCTAGAACACATGTGTTGAGATGACAGGCCACTAGCCTAGGACCACACTGCTATTCAGATTTCAATTCCATGTGAGAACCAGTGTCTCCTTTTCTTGACACCAGGCATTTTCTATAACAAGCACCGATAGGTGAGCCATTTGGCTATTTGAGATGAAATTGATGTTTGACATCGCACATTCTAAGGAAAGTCAGTAAGCTCTGATTGCAGACATTTGCATTCTGTGCATCTGCACATATATGTGACCTACCTCCCCTTCCCCCAATATATTTACTTTTAAAGATGTAATGTGGGGGTGACTAGTTTCTTCCCAGAGACATGCCCTCTCTGTCTCCTCCTCCAGGTGGAGCATGACGATGTATGGCAGTGAATTCCTTTCCCCTGTTGAAGGAGTGCTTGGCTGACTTCTGATAGCTTGGAGTTTTCTGTAAGGCAAAGGATGAGGGTGACTCTGGAGACAGTTGTGGAAAACCATTGGACAACAGTGGTTGGAGATGGACTTAGTGGTATGGCTAGGCCAGTGCAGATCAGTATCTAATAATCAAAGAGTCCAGTTAAGTACTGTCTGAGAAAGATGAGACCTGTGTGCTTGGTGGGACTTGAGAAAGGTTTTTGAATGGGAAAGGGGGAAATGTTATAAGTGGAGTATTTTGAAGGTATGCTCTTCTGTTTCAGACTGTCCTCTCTTGTACTCAGGTTTCTGCTGGTATTGATTGTATTATCTTCAAGTGGTTCGTGCATGGTTTGAGCATCACTGTTCTTTTTTTATTATTGTGTGTATGTCTCCCCAGTTGAAACTGGAAACATCTGAGAGCAGGAGTCACATCATCTGCGTTTTACTTTTTAAATCATTCCACCGCAGAATTTCTTATGCAGAAGTCAGCTCCTACTTCAGTGTTAAAGATCTGAAAGTGAATCCAAGGTAATAGTGGTCCATTCTGAGGAGCTCATAAGGAATTAGAAATAGCTACAATCTTATTTAAAACAGATCAGGCGTTTTGTACTGTATTGCTTTGTACTGTATTGTACTGTATAGTTAAGCGCAGTTGAGTCGGTTCATAGTAACCCTGTATAGGGTTTCTGAGGAGCAGCTGGTGGGTTTGAACTGCTGACCTGAACATCTTAGATTAAATCAATAAGATTCTAAAGTCCAGATAGTAGTAGCAACTGCTTTATAGACTATCTAGATGTTATTTTTTATCTGAATTTACCTATTTGTATTCGAAAACACAATAAACCTTATGAACAGCAGTTTTTCATTGTTGTTATTGTTAAGTCGGTTCCGACTCATAGTGATCCTACATAGGGTTTCCAAGGAGCAGCTGGTGGGTTTGAACTGCTGACCTTGTGGTTAGAAACCCAGTGCTTATCCTACAGTGCCACACAGGACTTCAGCTTTTCATTAAGGTCTTCAATATCTTCCTAACTTAAGGATGCTCAGAACTTAAAGTTAAAAAGTACAGCAGACTGTATGCATTATCTCTCACAATGCATTTATAGCTGTATGTCCATTCCAATTGTATAAGCATCTATAGACAGAGTGCCCACACATAGGATCCTTCTATGTCTCCATTAGTAAGAGAATTTTGCAAATGAAGTCATGGTCTTCAGGGGCGTTTGTAACCTACAGTATTTAGTTTTATAATACAGTACTTAACTTCTGATAAAATATAACAGTTTTGTTGTGTTTCTTTTCTCCTCAGTGCTGCATGTGCTGTTTTTAATCATTGTAAAGAAGAAAACTGAACTTTAAAACAATGCTGGAAACTCTAGGTAAGCTCTATTCCTTCTTGCCTACTGCTGTAAAAGTTGACATTCTTTCCATAGGGACTTTTGAAATATGGTATATAGCGGTATATTGCAGGTTTCTATTTATAGCAACTTAGTTAAGAAAAAAAATTAATTATGCACCAGCACTGTACCAGGGTAATGCATTTGGGTAATTTAATCTGAGGTGTTAAAAATTGTATCATGTAGTCAAAAGCATATGAAATACTCTGTATATTTTGATAAAATTTTATGTAAACTCAATTCTATATAGTACTTTTACTTTATTCGGGATCCTTGAAATCCTATTGAGCTCTTGCTTTTAATGAATAAAAAGAACAATCACAAACAATCACTTAGGCTGAATCCAGCTGGACAAACTTCAGTGAAGATTTAAGGCAGTTTAGTGGGAGAAAGATGAGGCTTTCTGCACCTGCAAAAAATTTTAAAAGCCTCAGAGACCCTGTATAGAATTGCTATGAGTCTGAACCAACTTGATGACACTTAGCAACAGCAAAGACAGTTTAGTTTCTATATGATATAATGTAGGTTTTGTTGTTGGTGTTGTTAAGTGCCATCGGTTCGGTTCTGACTCACAATGATCTGTACAGGGCTTCTGAGGAGCAACTGGTGGGCTTGAACTGCTGACCTTGTGATTGCCAGTCCAGTGCTGATCTTACAGCACCAAATTTTCCAGGCTCATGTGTTAATCTTTTTTTTCACACTGCTCTCCAGCTTAAGAGAAACTAGTTTCTAGAGGCCCTCACCTTCTCCTGTTCCAGATAACTCTTTGGGTATTACTATTGGAGGTGTCTGGATTTCACTCCGGCACCTTGATGATCATTCTGGTCCCGTGACAACTAAGGCTGAGGGGAAGGGAGAATCAGCTTGATTTGTGGTCATGTGACTTTATTGCTGATACTGTGATGGTCATGAAAATGCATGGACACACACTTCCTTCATCTCCCACTTCCTGCAGAAGTCACACAGCAGAGAGCATAGGCGGCCACACAGGAAAGTTATTACAAGTGGAGAACAAAGGGCAAATACAAAATGCCTTAAACCATTGCTTTCTTCTGTGACTGAGCTGAACACCTCCCAGAAGCTGATAAGAGGATTTGTGTACTGACATACCATGAGAAATACGACCCAGAAAAAAAATTCACAATGTATGTCTTTATCATTATTAGCTTTACATTTTTTTTGTAGTAATAAACGTTTAATTTTTATGTGTGTGAATTCACCCACTTCATTACACACTTGGAGTTTCCCATTTCTGTGTAGTTCTGGATTTTGTTATAGAAAATGTCTTAAGTGGTAATCTCCACTCTTTTTCATTACTGTGATATATTTGTTGTTGTTGTTAAGCATTGTTGAGTCGGGTCCGACTCATAGTGGCCCTGTATAGGGTTTCCAAGGAGCGGCTGGTGAGTTTGAACTGTCGACCATGTAGTTCAAACCTACCTTTTGGTCCAATGTTTTATCTGACAGCACCATACTAGGACTCTTACTGTGCTGTGACAAATGTGTATTTGGTAGATACACTCATTATTTGGAATCTGTTTGGACACATATCTGAATAGAGCCCTTTTTAAAAAAACAAAAACACTTGACCTTACTTGTAAGTGTGTATGTGTGCGTGTGTTTTAGGGAGATGTCTTTAATTATTGCTTGTGGTGGAACATTACTGTGATGAAAGCATTCCTACAGGTTCTTAAGTCTATTAGGGATGCATGTATTCAAGACATCTACCTGTGCAGCTCTGTGTCTGCTACCTAAGAGGATTAAAAGATACTTGAATTGCACAACATGGGTTTGAACTATGTCGGGTCCTTACACACAGATTATTATAAAAAAATTTTGTGTGATGCTAATCATCTGGTGAACAGGTTGTCTTTCCAGTAAATTGCATGTCACAGTGAAATGTGACCTCTTGCAGTTCTCATGCATCTTTTATTGTATTAATGCGATAACGGAACCCTTGAATAGCACCATGGGACCCATAGAAAGTGCAACTAGTGATGCTGAAAGAGCCCCCCAGAAGTCGAAAAAAGCCTTGACGTTACAAATCAGTGTTGAATTGCTTGATATGTACTGAAAAATGAGGTCTGCAGTTGTGCTTGTCCACCCTTTTAAGAGAAATGTGTCCAAAGTAAGGCCCAGTGTAAAATAAGAAAGGGAAATTCGTGAAGTTGCCTCTGTAGCTACTCCAGCAGGCACGAAAATCTTGCACTTTTTTGTGAAATACCTTTGTATCTCGTTTTGAAAATGCAGCTTTTATGTGGTTGCAGTACAGAATACATATCACATGCAAAATTTGTGTTAAACTTGACTTTTATGTTCATAATTGATGAGGTTTCTGGTCAACAATAGACTTTTAGTAGTTAAGTTTTGGGGGCGTCAGAAATTAAGTGTGGGTTTTGGACTGTGAGAGTGTTGGTGCCCTTAACATTTCCCTCCCTCTTCACAGGAAAATTACACTTCATCTGAATTCATGTCTGCACTTTGCAAATAGCTCGTTGCATACGGGTGATACTACACCAAGTTCCTTGCTTTCAAATAGACTTTCTTACAAGAGACTTCAAGGTGTGAGGGACACACTTATAGTAACACATGGCCAAACGGTTTGCCATTGAATGAATTCTGACTCATGGCGGACACACATGTGCATAGTCAAACTGCTGCACAGGGTTTTCCAGACCACGTGACCATTTGGAAGCTGATTGCCAGACCTACTTTGCAGATTTGAACCACTGATTTTTGCTTAATAGTCAGATGCTTAACTACTTGTTCCACCTAGGGAGATAGCCAAGCTACCATTTTATTTCTTGGAGTCCATTTTGTGTTCTTGATAAAGTGGGGATGGTTATAGGATTTGTGGGTTTGACTTGGGTCTTTTAAGTCCTGTTACTGACTCATGTTGTTCTTTGGTCCAGACAAAAACCGGGCCCTGCAGGCAGCTGAGCGCTTGCAGGTCAAACTCCGAGAACGTGGGGATGTGGCCAATGAAGACAAGCTGAACCTTCTGAAGTCGGTCCTGCAGAGCCCGCTCTTCAGCCAAATCCTGAACCTTCAGACGTCCATGCAGCACCTGAAAGACCAGGTAGGGCATCATTCACCCAAACAGGTGTTGATGGAGCAGCATAGAGAGATCTTTTGTAAAGTGTGTATGCTTCTGAAAGGCTGATTTTGATATGTGTTAATGAATAGTTAATGAAGTCATTTCAACCTACAAACGAGACATTCAGATTCACTGTGGCTTTTTCCCCCTAGTTATTTTTGTAATGGTTGTTGCTGTATATTGTGGATGATATGACATCGTGTTGAAAGCTCTGTGGATGTCAGAGACTGAATTCGTGCAGGAAAAGGGGATGAGGGAAATGTGTTTCGGCTAGATGGCTTTAGACTTGGTTTCCCTCATTACTCAGGCTCATTGTTCATGTGATATTACTCATTCAGAGTCAGTCATTCAGTATAGTCACAAGATTTCAGATAAGCCTGGATTTGCATGTGTAATCATGTGTGTGAGGAAGGGAAATCACCTCTATTTTGACAGTAGAAGGAATAATTACATTGTCATCAGCTAGAGGAATTGCAAATTCTCACTTCTTAAAGGAGTGTAAGTAGCAATTGCCTCTATGACAGCGTCAGATGGCGGTAAACATTAGAACTTCTAAATGTAACACAGCGTACTTTTTTTTCCTGCAAAAATTATGAGCATTAAAAAGTTCTTGCATTTATATTAGAATTGAAGCGCATCACAATGACAGAATGCAAACTGAAGGCAAGTGTTCTTTGAACTTACTTAATTTAATCACTGTTTCTCAAGAGTTTAAAAAATATATATTTTTAAAAATAGTTGTCTTCCTCACAAGGTTTGAAGTCAATCTAATTATGCCTTCATTCCAAGTTAGTTCTCATCCCGATGTTTTCGGCACTGATGTAATGGTTAAGGATGACTCACTAGCAGATATTCTGCCTTGTTTTTGTTAAGTGCTGTCCAGTTGGTTCTGACTCATAGCAACTCTGTGTAGGATTTCCAAGGAGCAGCAGGTGGGTTTGAATCCCCCAACCTTGTGGTTAACAGTCAAATACTTATCCTACAGTGCCACACCAGTACTCTTGCCTTAAAAGATGGTATGTGAAGCTTGAAACTAGTTCATAATTCCGTGAGAGAACAAATCCAATGAAAAACCCCAAATTGCGGCAAATGCAAAGAACAAACAGTGGTAATGATTAACAGAGAAAGTATTTGTTTAATGACATGTAACTTTTGTATCTATATATTCTAACAGAAAGAAAGAAAGAAAATCAAGATGAATCTTTAAAAATATTTTTCTACGATGAATTTCTCCTTATCAATTTTAAACAGCATGATCATGAATTAGGGGGAAAAGATTTTTATTTATTTATTGTTGTGTTTGTTCTTTCTGCAAGTTATTGAAAAAGATTGTTTTTAGAGACTTATATTCAGAATGGATTGGCAAGGTTTTGGAGAAACTAGTCTCCTGAATAATGGTATAATTATATTGTGGAAAATTATTTAGTTTTTTTAGAGTGTGAAGAAATTGAACAACTGTCTCCTTGCCTTATGTGGAAATGCAATTGGAATCAAAGGGAACGTTTAAACAAGAAAAAGTTTTAATGAGCATTTTAGGAAACACCACTGGCCTAGAAAAATCACTGGCGAAATGTTCATTGAAGTCGGCGTATGCAAGGAAAATAGAATTTACTTGTACCATGCTTGCTGAATTTGTTTTCCAGTTGCTGTGAGGTTGATTCTAAGTCATGGAGACCCCGTATGTGTCACAGTAGAACTTTGCTCGCTGAACCAAACCAAATCATTTGTTTGGAAATTGATTCTGACTCTTGGCAGTCCTGTGCGTTTCTTAGTAGAACTGCGTTCCTTCGAGTTTTCAATGGCTGTGACCCTTGGCAGTAGGTCACGAGGTTTTTATGATCAGTCACCTCTGGATGACAACATTTTGGTTAGTAGTCAAGAACTTAACCATTTGTACCACCCAGGGATTCTGTGTTTGTTGAAAGGTGAGGGCAAAAGGACCTGCTTGATGTGCAGCTTATTTTCCCATTTCTAGCTGCAAAAGAGGGTTGAGAAAATGGATAAAGATCCCAAGACTACATTGGTCCCACATGCTTCTCTTGAAACCTACTGGGAAAACTATTGAGAAAACTATTAATGTTATCAGGCTTCGTTGTGTGAATTCTTCAGGCATGTCTTCCAGACTTTGGAGTGTGGGCTCATTGCTCACCTCTACACAGAGAGAGGAGTCCTGGTGTGGAACCGCAGGATAATGCACTGGATCACAAGGTTGGTTTGACCTTCAGGGCTGGTGGTTCAAACTCACCAGCCGCTCCTCGTAAATCCTATACAGGATGCTGAGTTAGAACCAGCTCGATGGCATTTAAAACAGCAACAACAGCACATAGAAACCCTAATACTGAAAGGACCAAGAGACACATCTAGCCCAAACCCTGCTTATTACAGTGACTTACAGAGGTTGGCTTGTTTATAAGAGTGATTTAGAACTCGAATTGTTTCCTTAGTTCCAAATTTCTTTTCTTTTCTTTTCTTTTTTTTTAAATTCTGTAGCCTGTCTTGCATCTTCTGTTCTTTTGGGTAGGAACTTGGTCCATAGATACCAAGACTGTCATTTTGGTTAAAAGCATTGGTGACTTCTCATAGTTTCTGAGTCTCTTCAGTTTATTCCCCATTCTTTACTAATTTTCTTCCATTAGTTTATTAATGGCAGTTAACAACATTTTATCAAAAATCTTGTTTCTTCTATGAGTAGAGTAAAAGATTTTAAATGTATGTTATTTTCTACTTTAAATTTTAAGTATAAATATTCTGAATATTATGTTAGATTTACGTTTCCTAGGTATGTTGTTAAGCTTGTTAAGTGCTGTTTAGTCAGTTCCAGCTCTTAGTTTGAACCACCAACCTTGTGGTTAGCAGTTCAGTGCTTACCCGACAACGCCACACCAAAACTCCCTCTAGGTATGTGTCGATTGCTAATTTGTTAGTATTTTTAATTTGTTAATATTTTTAATTTATGCATTAAGGTAGATAGGGAATTATTTTTTTCCTTAAATTATATCACTGGCCACTCCATTATGATTAATAGCTAGCGTTTCTTTATTACTTCCTGTCTAAGCTATGTTTTCAGATATGTTAGTTCATAGCCATGACAGTTTCTAGTTCTTGTCTCCATCTTTTTTTTAGTACTACAGGAAAATTGAACTCTCCCATTCTCTTCCTCCGCCCTTCTTCTGTCTTGTAGAGCAGTAAAGGGAGAGAATAATTGAAAAGTACTAGATGTATGCAACATGTAGGAGCTCTGGTAGCGTAGTGGTTATGAATTGGGCTGCAAACCTCAAGGTCGGCAGTTTGAAACCACCAGTTGTTCTTCGGGAGAAAGATTAGGCTTTCTGCTCCTGTAAAGATTTACAGCCTCAGAAACCCTGTACAGAATCTCTATGAGTCGGAACCGACTCCGCGGCACATAGCCATAATCACCATGCAGCATATTGGAGAACATGTTTCTATCGTTGCCTTAATGACAGATACTGACATGCCATGTTGGATTAAACCTACTCTTTTTCCCCTCACATGCTTCTTCTTGTTGCTATTCAATAATATTTAATCTTTCCAATTTGCTCCCTCAGTATTCAGATTGCCCTTAGAAATCCAACTGTTTCCCTTTGGCAAATTAAACACTTGACAGGTGTATAAGAAAGCCATGCCCTGAAGGGATGTGCTATTTAAATATTGTCAGAAATATTAACAGGACTGAGAGTGTAATTGATGCCTCTGTTTAACTCTGCCACGTTTTGTATTGTTCCAACCGCCAGCTAAAAGGATGTGCGCTATTAAACCTGAATCATCCCTAATAGCACCCGTTCCTTTCCTATTACACGATTCCTGCTTAAGTGAAGAGGGAGCAGAGACAACAGTGATTGCGTGACAGTCATCTGTCAGACGCAGATTTTCAGGTCGTGTCCTCACTGTCACCTAGCCTTCACCGCTAATCACTTCAGGGCTTAATGAGTATTCATGACAAAGTTGCAGCCATTGTGGGGAAAATAAACCCGTTCACAGTTTAATAATAGAAACTTGTCAGCCATGAGGATACTGGATTTGCATATTTATTCCATGAATTTTCTTCCGTCCAGTATTGATGGATGCTACTTGCCTGATTCATTAATCCTCTTGCCTCGTGAGCTGACCACAGGCACTATATTAAATGCCTTTTTTTTTCTTACCCTGAGCTATTTGTAGGAAAACGGTGGATTCAAGTTATTCTTTTCAATAGAAATTTGGAACGAATACATACAAATCGACACAGCTAAGTTTGTTTTTTAGAGTTGTGACAACATAGACCAGTTTGAAGATTGAAGAAATGAAATGGATAATTCCAGTTATAGAAATTGCTTAGGTGGGAAACTGGCGGTAAACCCTCTGCCGTTGCGTCACTTCCGGCTCATAGCAAGCCTATAGGGCAGAGTAGAACTGCTCCATAGGGTTTCTGGGACTGTACATCTTTATAGAAGCAGCCGGCTGTATACTTCTCACGAGAAAGGGAGGTCGAACCACGCTTAATCCGCTGTACCACCGGGGCTTCATAAACAGGCCTTGTTTTTGTTGTTGTTAGTTGGTTCTGACTCATAGTGACCCTGTATCGGGTTTCCGAGGAGCGGCTGGTGAGTTTGAACCGCTGACATTAACGTTCACTCAGACCTTGTGGTTCAGTGCTTTTCCTGTAGCGCCATACCAGGACTCCAAATGGGTCTTAGGACACTGAATACTCGGGAGGGTTCTCCACACCCGTGATCTCCAGCCTTTTTGGACTGTGACATTCTAATACTAATTGATTTTTGTCTGTTTGATGTTTCCAAGCTTCTTTCTAGTTCACCTTCCTAGAATAGGATGGCAAGGCAACGTGGTTTACCTCCATATTCTGCAGCTTCATAATATATGTGCATGCAGTGTTACGTCAGATTTTTTTAGTTTGTTTCTTTAGAAATGTTAAGATAGCTTTCGAAGCAGTTGATGAGGTACTGGGTGGACATTCACTTGAGGTT